CCCTTCTTCGGGCCATCTGCCTCCCCCTTCTCCATTTCTCAGGCTGCTTCCCCAGCCCCGGCTCTTCTTGGTTCTCCCAGTTTCAGCTTGGCTCCCCTCTCTCAAAGCTGCTCCCTGTTGACAGCCCGATTCTTCTGTGCTGCACACGATAACCCTCACTTAACTCGTTACGTGGGAGCCTGAGTTGCTACAGCCCGTCCTAGGTAGTGATTCGCTGTGAGAATGGAGGTTGGACTCTTGGCGCCCATCCCCAGTGGGCCTGCTGCTTCTCGCCAGATATAACGGCACGCGGGAAAGACCTTGGGAGACGGGGCCAAGAGACGCCGCCAAGGGAATGGTGAAATAAGAGACAGCATAGCCTGCAACTGGAGAGCGGGCGGGGCAAGAGCCTCAGAAGAGACCCTCCCTAGCTTCTTGGGGCACAAAGGAGAAGGCAGGAGAACTGTACTTTTGGACGTGCAAGATTCTGTCACTGTAGCTTTATGATGAAGTAGAATTAGCCCATCTGGCCCTGTTTCCTGTCTGTCTACCTGGTAAGGCTGACACCAGGTCACCAGCCTGTTTGGACAGGGCCACTTCAGGCACCTCTGCTGCAGTTCAGACCCCTTTTGGAACTGCACATGCGATGCTGTGGTACAACTCGCCTTCCTGAAGTCGTTTCAGGTCTCCCAATGGGGTAGCCAATGGCCAGTGACCTCCGCTACCTTCCTGAGCCTAGTTTTCCTTGCAGGGCGCCGCGCGTTCATCGGAATTGGCTTTGTTGACCGAGGTGATGCTTTTGACTTCAATGTGGCACTGCAAGACCATTTCAAGTGAGCGCTCTCTCTTTGGTGCCAGGACTCTGCTGGAGGCTCTTTCTTCCAGGGAAGGAAATGGGTAGGGGGGCTTACCATGCTCCATCGCAGCTGATTCTTCCGGACTTGCATCTGCCTGTCAAAACCTTACCTGGCATCCAGGAGCAGTGTTGACAACACTTGCAGAACAACATTTGGACAGCATTCCTAAGTGTCGCCAGGGAGGGCGCCCTCCGAATCTGCAGGGGAAGGCCATTCTAAAGGGACAGGGAAACAGCAGAAAATCCTCCAGTTCTCCTCCTTGCCAGCTGCCTTCAGCTGCTCCAGACATATCTGAGAGCCAGACCGGGGAGCAGCTATCTGGGCCAGCAGAGGGAAAATACCCGAGCAGCGGTGGGGGCGGAGGTTCCATCAGTGGCCACTTCTCACACCTTGCTTCCTCCTGCAGAGGGAAAGACGGGACTTGGAAGGCCACCTTTGCTGTGCGGATTTTTTCCAGGAAGAGAACGCACCTGCCCTAAGTAACTTGCCTCCCCTAGGCGGAAGGCTTCCTTGCCGCTTCCGTCTGTGCCTTTTCTCACTCCCTGCCGGAAAACCCCTTTTCTCTCTTTCTCCGCAGATGGGTCAAGCAGCAGGATGAGTTAGCCAAAGAAGCCCAAAACCCAACGCAGGGGCCCAAACTTGACTTGGGCTTCAAGGAAGGGCAGACCATCAAGCTCAGCATTGCGGTGAGGAACGCCTTGGGGGTCGTCCTAGGCTGGAGAAGCAGGACGGGCGCCCTCGGATTGCGCTCCTAAGGCTCAGCAGTGGCCCGCTGTCCGCTTGGCGGGTGTTTTCTCCCAGCTTGTGAGTTGGGGAAAGAAACCAGACTGAAGCCTGATGGGAAAAGAAGCGAGAGCGAACCCCTCCTCCGTGGGCTGAGTTCCATCATCATGTGGAAGGCTTCCGAGTGGTTTTCCATGTGGCACTGAAAGCTTTTTGGTCTCCCTATAGAATGTGAAGAAAAAGGACAGTTCCTCGGGAAGTAGGCCACGACCTGCTGACTCCACGGGCCTCCCCCTCCTCCCTCCCCCTCCAGGAAGCAAGACACCCCTCCTCCACCCACTTGGAGGACAGCTTCCCTCACCTCTTCCTGGAACCTCAGCAGGTGTCATCCAAACAGGTCCGTGTGACCCCTTTGGCTCCTTGGGGCGGGGGGGGGGGGGGTTGGCTTTTGCACTGAACTGGAAAAGGGAGCTCCTGCTTTGGCATCGCTGGAGCTCTTTGGCAGTGGATGGAATCGGCTGGGGTCTGTCAGGCCCACCCCGAGGACCTCAGTGTCTCATTTCTGCCAGTCACTCAGCAGTCCCTGAGCAGACGCATCTGTCATGGGAAGGTCCTTTAAAGGAAACCGGCAGATACTAAGTAATAGCACTCTGAAGTAGCTCCAACGAAAGCCCTTTCTGCGGGGGTCTGGAAATGGAAAGAAGTCCTGAAGAAAAAGCTAAACTCCTTTTCTCCCCATGCTCTGTTTGCCAGCAGATGCTGCCTGGTCTCAGCACTCACAGCCCCCAAGTTCTACAACAGAAGCGTCTGCAGACATTTGGGGAGATTTCACCAAAGCTTCCGGGTGAGGAGATGCCCCTTCTGTCGTGCCTTGGGAGGATAAGCCCTGCCCCCCACCCCATCTTCCCAAGCACAGTCTCTCTTTTGGCTCTGCCGGGCAGTGGCACCGCTGTGTCTGTACAGCGGAGAATCGTCTTGAGGGTTGTGTCCTCTATTTATTTTTTTTTAGGCAATATAGCCTAGCCCTTATCAAAGAAATTGTCAGCCCCAGACCAGACCACGAAATCAGGTCCACAGGAAGGATAACACTACTTTTATTGAGACTGGAAATAAAGTCTGACCAAGCTGTGCCATCTCCCCTTCACGCTTCAGTGAATCAGGGAGGCCTCTGCCTGAGCCGTTCCCAAATATTACTGCCTGGACTTCCAGAGAGTTTCAGCCTCTCTTGCCCAGCCAACAGCTTCTGCCTGTCTCTGTCATCTTCCTTACTCTACAGAAATGCTCTACATCTGCATTTCCCTACCAAGGCAACTTAACGTCGTGTGGTCTTCAACTCCTAGAATTCGCCAGGCCACATGGCCGTTGCTGAGAATTCTGGGAATGCAGGTCCGCACAGTTTAAAGTTGTCCAGGTTGGGAAACGCCGCTCTGAACCACAGTACTGAACTCGAGCGAGGCCTACGCTGGGCTTCTTGAGCCTGTACAATGCACGGTTCACCAATTCTGCTGTAAGGTATTTTAGATAGCGTCATCGAAGCAGGCAAGTCTTTTTCTCAAAAGAAAGAGATGGAGAACGAAGGGCAGATTAAAAGGAAGATTTGCTGATGTCACGTTTAACACAGTAAGGGCATCTCATTCGGCTAGTTTATAGAGCAGACTTGGAGTTTTATCCTCTTTCATCGGGAGAGGTGAGTCAAGGTAGGCGCCGCCTGCCCCTGCCCAAAAGAGGAGCCCCGTTTGCCCCGGGGAAGTCCGCCTCTCACGGCCGCGCCTGTGCTTGTCTCCTCCTAGGTCCGCCTCTCAGCCGCGGCAGAACTCGGGCTGGGTCCAGTTCTGAAGGCCCGGAGACCAAGGGGGGCCTTCTCCTTTCCAGTTGAGGGGCCCGGGGACGGCTCTCGGCCCCCCAAGGGATCCTGCTCCCGGACTCGGAGGAGGGAGCTGCGCCAATCCTCTCCCGCACCCGGCGCTGGACCTTCGGTGGGGTGGGGGCGAGGCGCCGACTGCCAGCGGACGGGGAAAGACTCGTTCCTGCTTCTGAAGCGAAGCTCTTCGCCTGCCCTCCTGCCTTTCCTTCCCTCCTGAGGGGAGCATCGTACTTCGGGGCCCCCCGCAGGCCGCACCCTTTTGCTGACTCCGCCTGGGGAACGACCACGGCCGCCGGGCCTCTGGAGCTCCGGGCCCCGCGCCGGGTTCTGCTGCCGCCTCAAGCAGGCCGCGCGGCCGCCGGGGCCTTGCGGGTTTTCCCCTGGACCGCCGAGCGCTGGTCCTTGTGCTCGGAAGGGGCCGCCTTGCATCCCCGGGGCCCTTTCAGGGACTCCGGCCGCCCCTCCGCGTGTCTTTTCTTCGCTGGGGCGCCCCCCTCGCCGGCGAGG